CATACATACATATATACACTATATATACACATACATACATATATACACTATATATACACATACATACATATATACACATACATACATATATACACATACACGTGTGTGTGTGTGTGTGTGTGTGTGTGTTGTTAGTGATGTCTACCTCCAAACTCCGGGATGGTTCATTTTAAGCCTAGCAGCATGGGGAAACTGCCCAGTGTCCTTTTTAGGGGACCTTATACCTTTTGCTCCCAGTCCCACAAGGATTCAGTGTATTTTTACATGTATTCAAACCTCACTGATGTTGAATCAGAACGGATTCATTGTTGAGCCCACCCCTGGAGTGTTTTCAAGAGGCTATAAATTGCACAGGAGAAGATTGCCCACCTTTCTCTGAAAAAGGAACTGATAGACTTGAACCACTATGTATAGCGGCATAGCCTTTGGGTTAACAGCACACCTTTCTACAGACTAGAGCCCCCTTTATCTGTATTAGCAGCAAGCTGTTGGATCCCCTTGAAGGGCCACAGGCACGTTATTTGCCCAGTGCCACTCAGCCATTGTGTGGGAGTAACAATAGACTAAGCCTCAAAGGGCCATATTAAGTAATTTGCTGCACCACAAAGAGGTAGGAAACAAGTATGGCAGTGCAGAGCAGTGCCGTGTTTTATAACCTCAGAGCGAGTTCACCAAAGCCACAATGCCCACCTCATGCTGGCACAAAGTTCAGTGAGGGAATGCGCCTCTTGGGGACAATGACCCAGCTTCCTTTTGTGTTTCCATTTGCCAGTGGGACTCACTCCCTGCTTGGGCATCAAGAGGACAGTGAGGAGGTGACCATGGCAACCTGGCAAGGGGGCTGGAGCTGAGAGGGGCTTTCATCTAGTCCAAATTTAGCAATAGTAGAATTTTAAATTTTGAACAGGTGATAAGTTCATGGATTTCAAAAATCTACAGTTCCATAAATTATCTTTTTTAAAGAATTATCTCTACTCTCTGTAGTTAAAGACCCTGTCCTTGTTTACTCCATTTCCTAATGGATAACCATGTGTATGCTTCCAGTCTTCTTTCTGGTAACTAGCATCTCTAAAACATCTGAGCCAAACTCTCTTCTAGGCAATGTTCTAATGCATGTAATAAGCTCATTCAGTCTTCACCACACTGCAGGTTCCATGCTGTTATTTCTCCTATTTTATAGTGCAGGAAGCTAACGGCCAGAGGGGTAGCACAACTCGCCCAAGTTCACTCTAAAGCCAATGTGCTAAGTCACCTACTTCTCTGTTAAACACAAAGGCACAGACCGTCTTTCAAAGCATTCTGTGCTGAGAGTAGGAATTCCTAGGGGGCTGCAAATGGTTAAGTACTTACTGGCTTAACAGGCAAGGAGTTGCTCTGCCAACCTAAAGACCGGCAGATCAAATTTATGGGAGACAATGGTCCATCTCCTTCATGTCATTTACAGCCTGGAGAAGGGTCAGTTATGAGATCTTCCAACTGGACGGCACATAACAACTAACTAACTGAAAGGCTTGGATGCACCTAAAAGGCACCTTGGAAGGTCTGGGGTTATTGGCTAAAAGGTCACAGCCTTTAAAACACATGGGTCAACATGAGTCGGAATCGCTTCACCTTCTCTGCTCTCTCCCCAGGATCGCCGCGAGAACCTGCCCACCTCCCCACCCTGGACACCCGGCGCCTCCCGGCCCCCCAGCAGCCTGGACGGCTGGGTGAGCCCAGGGCCGTGGGAGCCTGGCCGTGGGAGCAGCATGAGTAGCCCCCCGCCGTTGCCGCCTCCGCCGCCCATGTCCCCCTCGTGGAGCGAGCGTTCCATATCCCCACTGCGACCCGAGCCGGAGACGCGGCCACCCAGTCGCCAGCTGCAGGCGCTACTGGCGCGAAACATCATCAATGCGGCCCGGCGCAAAAGCGCCTCCCCGCGGCCCGCGGGCGCCGAGAGCCTGCGGCCCTTCTCCCCGCCGCAGGCGCCGCCGGCGCCGCCGCCGCCACCACCACCACCACCACCACCACCACCGCCGCCGCGCATGCGCTCGCCGCAGCCGGCGCGTCTGAGCTCGGTGGCCGCGCCAGGGGCCACGTTCGCGCCCATCCCGCGGAGCCAGCTGCCCGCCAGGCCCTCGCCTTGCGCCAGCCCCCGGAGCCCGCTGCCAGCGCCGCCCAGGCCCTTCCCCTACCGCCGTTCGCCCACGGACTCCGACGTGTCCCTTGACTCCGAGGACTCCGGAGCCAAGTCTCCAGGCATCCTTGGCTACAACATCTGCCCCCGCGGGTGGAACGGCAGCCTGAGGCTCAAGCGCGGCAGTCTCCCTGCCGAGGCCTCTTGCACCACATAAATCCAGCTCTCCCATCTCCTCCCCAGGATCAGGGCCCAAAGAAGAGCCGTGGGGCCTGAGGGACCTCAGCACCTCCTTCTCAGGGGTCTGGTTTCTTTGCACAGCTCCAGAGATTAGGGGAGAGGAAAGGGAAGAGAGTCCCGAGGGTTTAGGACCCAAACTTGAGTCCTAGCCCTTTTCTCTGTCATCCAGTCGTTCTGTGACCTTGAACAAGACCCTCTCAGCCCTCAGCTTTCCCATCTGTTTAATGGGGCTTTGGCCAAGGCACTCTTCAAATGTCTAAATCCCTCCCCCCATCAATATACACTACATAATAGTGCCTTAGAAGAGACAAGACATTGTGTGTATGGACCTGAAACTTGCTGCATTCCAAGGTTCTAGAGCATTGCTTTGTCGTCTCCTGACTTTGCTCTGGAGCCTGACAAATGAGGGGTGTATTCAGAAGATCCTAGGCGCATGTCCCCTGCTCAGGTTCTGGCATGACCACCCAGCTCCTGGCACCAAGTTCCAGGCAGGAGCAGCTGTTTTCCATCCTTTCCCAGACCAGCTCTATTTTTACCACGATGACCTTTAAAAAAGCCTCCTGGGCCAGCTCAAGGTGCCCGCTGGCCCTTTGAGGAGAAGTAGAAAGATTCCCTCAGACTCTGCTCATGCTTTTTTTCTTTTCCACCGCAACTCGGGCATCTTACCTAAAACCAAGGATCTGGTCCTCCTGCTCTCTACAGTCCCTCCAACCTCTCCCTTGTAGACCTTATCCTGGCAGGTTTTGGGCTTAAAGCTAAGCCAGGGAGAGAAAGACAAGGAGCCACCCGGTGCCTTACCTGTGTGGCTGAATCTAGGGCTATCCATTTGGAAGGAGAAAGAGAACCGTTCCAGCCGTGGCCAAGATGCAATTAGAGGGAATGCCAGTAGGGGGTGGGGGTATTTAGCTCAGATGACCCCTAAGGCAGACTCAAGTGAAAAACCTCTGTTCAATCTGTTGAAACCCATTCAGAAATGACCTTCCATTTGGGTTTCCAAGGCTGTAAATTGCACAGGAGGATTCAAACGCCAGAGAGCTGGTTAGTAACATAACTCTATGGTCTATACCACCAGAGCTCCCAGAATGCATTTCACAGTCTTAAGAGAGAGGTTGAGCTTTAGAACTTGAGGATGTGAGTGTAGGTGGGTGAGTATGATTGGGGCCAGGGTTAGCAGGTATTTCTGGGCCCCTAAAGTCTAATGGCAAATACCAAAAGAAAGTACTCCACTCTTCCATTTCAGAGCCTACTTCCTTATCTCTGGATTCACATGGCATCCATTGTGGGGACACTACTATCTCATTTCTTTCCCCTAGTTCCTGGTGCCCAGTGAGCTTGGGGAGCTTGGCTGCCTGTACTACTAGCTTGCCCTTTAAGTCCTGGTGGCTGTTTGTAGTGAGTTCTACTGATCTAGAGTTGGCTGGTGGTGCCCTCTAGAGACTCAAACAGATGCTCTGTATTGACTGAGACTAAAAAGTATGTATCAGGAAAAGACAGGATGTTGCCAAGAATGTGGTTCGGGGGTGGCAGCAGACACAACCACCACTTAGGATGATGTGAGACCCAGGACCTTCAAGTGAAGCTGCGAACAGCTGAGGTCAAAGTAGAAGGGTTAGAGGGTGGAAATGGGATGCTGCGGAATAGAGGAATAATCCAGAAGATTTGGGTCCACGTTTGTGGGAAGAGGAGACAGTGCTTCTGCTGGGTCTAGGCTGAGTGACCACATTGCCTGCAGTCCTTGACTGCTGTAAGGTCTCTTGTGGTGTGGGACACTGGGGGATGGATTCTCTCAGAGGAGAGCCATAGTCTGACTTCTGGATCCACTTCTACATGAATTTTCCTGTAAAGCCAACAGGAAGCAACCTTGAGAAGCTGCAGTCCTGTCCCTGGCTGTTCTCGGCAGGCCACAGTCTTTGCTGACCTACACTAGCCCACAAGAACACACCTGTGTCCTGCCTCTTGCCTCCTGTAGAATTCTGCTCCAGCTCTCAATAAATGCTTCCTGCATACTTCTGTAGCCTGTGTAATTTTCAGATGCATCTAAAGCTGTTTCTCCACCAGCCATGGAAGAATACACCGAGGCCCTGGGTAGGTAGATATGTCTAAGACACAGGAGATGGGAAAATTAGGAGAGATAGGAAACAACAGAAGAACTCAGAGCCATAGGAGAAGCTGTAGGTTCAAGTCCTAGCCCTGCTGGTGATTATCTGGGTGTTTTGTGGTAAATGCCCTCCTTCTTTGGGCCTCATTTTCTCTCTCTGTGTAATGAGACTGTTGGGTTGGGCAGTGTTGCCCAGGCCCTGCTCACAGGAAGGAGTGAGAGAGCAAGCTCAAGCTGGACCCAAGGCTCTGAGACTTCTGCAACAAGGCAGGTCGGGGCTCCAGGGTAGCAGGAGGTCACATCCCAACCAAGGCAACCTGCATAAGCTCAGGAGCCAGAAGGTCAGGAGTCTTCCTCTCCTGATGGGAACATTAAGTGCCTAGAGAAGAGAGTGGAATCCCAGATCCAGGTGAGGCCATGCCTGCCGGGAAGTATCCTTTACTCTTCCTCACAGGAAGTGCAGGACATCGACGACTGCATGCACAGAGGAGCCCACAGGACAGGGTGCTATGGGGAAAGCTCATGGCAGAGTGTTCAGGTTTCTGCCCAAAGAGTGTCAGAGATATACTCTCACACACACAGAAGCACTTCTCTGCCCGCCCAGGCACCCCTCTAGTTCCACCCTCCCCGGTAGCTGTGGTTGGTGGGGCTCTGATCCCATGATTATCATCACCCAGAATCTCCTCTGACTGCAGCATTCCACTTTCTACATCATCCCATCACAGCATCCAGACGCCTCACACCAAGTCTACCCAAAACTGAACACAAGTATCTTCCGCAAACTCAACCTGTTCTTCCTCTTTCCAGCTAAGCCAGGAACCTGGGTATTGTTATCTTCAGCTTTCTTCACCTTCTTCATCCATCACCAAGACTTAGGGAATCTCCAACTACCCATAAATCCCAGCCTCTTCTCCAGTGCCTCTATCACTGCCTTAGTCCAGCCACCACCATCTCTCACTTGTTGTTAGGTGCAGTTGAATCAATCCTGACTCACTGATTCTGTGTGACAGAGGAGACCCATAGGCTTTCCCAATCTATAATATTTACAGGAGAATATCACTTCTGTGGAGCCACTGGATGCATTTGAACCACTGACCTTTTGGTCAAGTACTTAACCATTATGTCATTAGGGCTCCTGTCTCTACCCTGGCTGCCGTGAAATCCTCCTTACAATCTCCTTGCCTCCAGTCTTGCATCTTTAATGTTTGTCAATGGCACACAGAGATATCCTTGAATGATGCTGATGCAGCCTCTCAACTCACTCCTCATTGAAAAGCCTGCGGAACTGTCTCTTCCCTAACAATCTGGCCTCATTGCTAACCACTGCCCCCAACTCTGGCTCTCCTTGAGGATTCCCTGAATCCTTAGCATGAGGTACCTTCCCTTGCAAGATCTTTGGCCCTCCTATGCCCAGAGAGCTCTCACTCATCCTCCAAAGCCTGACTCAAATGTCTCCTCCTCCAGGAAGGCTTCCCCACACCCTCTCACCCTCTGCCCCCAGGCTGAGCTGAGCTGAGCTGGTGGCGCCTTCCCCTGGGCTCAACCATAGCACTTCCCATCATGCACTGCATAGGTTTGTTTACAGGGCTGGCTCTGGCCTGGCTGCTTGAGGCTAAAACTCTGCCTTATTTATTTCCAGTCCAGGGAGAAAGGATCAGAGAATATGAGAAGGGGGAGGGGGAGGGGGTGGAGAGAAGCAAAGAGAGAGAAGGAAGGAAGAGGACAGAGGTAAGAAAGAAGAAAAGTGGGAAAGAAACATCAAGCAAAGATATTCGGGAGCAACTCATTCATTTATAAAGCAAGTGCTTGTTGAGTATATACCAGGCACTGTCCAGGCACCAAGGATACAACAGTAACAAGCTAATGTGACTGGCAACTGACCCAGGTGACTTTGCGGGTGTGCATGCAAGTGTAAGTGTATGTGAATGTGTGTGCGTGTGAGAGCCAGGGAGAGAGAGAGGGGGCGAGTGAGCGAGAACACATGGACAAAAGCCCTTCCGTCTGCAAGGGCCTGCTGCCGGGCACCTGTCTTCCCCAGGGCCTGGTGCTTTTAGCATCTGCCCCAGCTCCTGTTGCAGCCCGAAATAAGGCTGTGACCCACGGCGCTGCAGGGACCAGTCCTATCAGCAGAGGCCAGAGCCGGCTGCAAGGCACACACTGCTTGATGACTACCACCTCCTGCCGGCTTGGACCCCCACCACTCACTAAGAGCTCCAGACAGAGGGGTCGACCTTGAGGGCCTGACCCTCCCGTCTGTCCTCTGTGGCCCCAGCTTTTCAGGTACCAGGAACCTAGGGGAACTGGGGAGCAGTGGGGAATGGACAGGAAGTTGAGCCAATCCCAAGGCCCCTTCCTACCAGGCAGATAAAGGGCCCTGCAGAAGGCCGGGAGGATGGGCCTCATAAAAGCCTGGACCCAGTTTAAGAGGAGAGATATTCTGAGGTCTAGGTTGCTTTTGATTAAATGGAGAGAGAGTACCTAGGATTAGAGGTGGGCAGGTAATGGCCCTGCTCACAACTTCAGTGTCTTTTGGCAACAGCAGAGGTTGTTTCCTATCTGTACAATGCAAGATCCTTCCCAGAGTCTGAATTTCGGCAAGGAATGTATTTATCAGGAATGTATCCATGAACTCTGAGATCCTAAAAGGTCACAGCAGGACATCATCCACCCATTCTGCAGACCTTTAAAGATTTATGTTGTTGTGTATTGTGGAGTCTGAACCCGGCCATAGCTGACCCTCCAGTGGGTTTTTAGAAGCAGTTAATAACACAGGAGGAGAATGCCCATCCTCCTGCAGAGCAGCTGGTAGATTTGAACTGTGTGCCATTGGCATTGCAGCCCAGTTTCTTACCACTAGGCCATAAGAGCTCCACCCACCCATGGATCTAACTCAACCTATTTATGTTACAGACAGGGAAACTGAGGCACAGAGGAGGAGAGAAAGCACACTCACAGAGGCTGTCAGGGGCCAGAGTTCACTGACCTGGACTCAAGAGATAAAAGTGAAGGGTGCAAATGGAAACAGATTGTTTTTCTAAATGAAAGAGCTTAAGAATATTTGGAAGCAAAGTTGTGACATGGGGTGGGTGGGCATTTGAGACATCTGGTCTCTTCCCCCTTCTCTCTTGGGGGAAGGTAGAGACTCTGGTATTGTACCTGCCAGGGTTCTCTGGGGAGACAAGCTTCATGGAAAGCTCCCTCAAGATTCCTGGAAAGAGCCATGAGTTGCAAACAGGGGAGTGAAAGTGTAGAGGGAAGGACAGAGGAGAAGGGTGAGGAGGCAACACGGAGGCGGACAGGGACCTGTGGGAATGGAGGAGTGAAGTGCTCCCTCAGCTTCAACATAGCACCTGGCCCTGAGTCTCCTCTCGACAAAGTACCGAGAGTGGGGAGAGGGAACAGCCCTGTAGAGCCTGCTGCAGCCCAGCTCCCTGGCTCTCAGTAGACCACGTGCTTTCTGTATCTGACTAGAGCTTTCCTCGACAGTGCCTGAAGCCTGCTCCTCCTAACACTCCCCTCAGATGTCTCCTAGCATTCCCCTGCCAGGCCTCACCAAAACCAGATCTTCTGGTCAAGATTTCGCATCAATTTTCTGGGGAAAGGCCCCTTGGGGATTTTTCCCCCTAGCAACACAGAAGCTGATTTGTGTGATCGGGAGCATTTCCAACACTACCTGGGCCTCAGTCTCCCCCTCTGTACAGAGAGCCCAGGCTCGGGAGGAATGGTCAAGGCTGGTGCAGGGATAGAACTGGACAAAGCAGGGCTGTGGGAGAAGTAAAGGAGAAATAGAAAGGGATGAGGTGACTGGGTCCATTGGCAGGAGTTTCTTCCCACAGAATGATCCCGAAGGAGCAGAAGGACCCTGTGATGAGTGCCATGGGAGACTTCTCGGGACCAGGTAAGGTGGAAACAGTCCATGCTTTCTTCAGACCCTCTAAGTCCCAGGCTTGGGCAAAGAGGGGCGAACTCTAAGCCAGTTTTGCAGAAGCACCCTGAAATAGCTCACCAGGGCTCAGGAGCTTCTGTCACTGGGAGGGGCCCTGTCCTTTAAAGTCCAGAGACTGAAGATCGAATGTCCCCGTCTGAGCTCTGGCCCTGGCTTTAACACGACCCTGGTCGTGACCACAGCTGAGTCCTTCCCTCTGTCCCAAGCTGAGCTCTGAAGGCTCTGGTCCAGGATCAGCTGTGGCCACAAGCTCCCACACGCTAATTCTTGTTTATCATGACTGCAGTGATCCTGAACAGTGCCGTTTGTGCTGTGGGCGGATTAGTGGTAAGGAGTTGCACTGCCAACCCCAAGGCATACAGTTCAAATCCACCAGTTACTCTGCAGAAGAAAGATGGGCAGTCTCCTTCTGTGAGATTAACTGCCTCTGAAAACCCACTGGAGGATCAGCTACGGGTGGGATCTCAACAGTACATAATAACAAATCATCTGGAAGTAAGTAGTTTGAAGACATCCATCAACAAAGGACTTGTGATCTGCTTTCATAAAAGTCACAAGCCAGGGAAACTGTGTATCAGTAGTTCTACTTTGTAACACGTGAGATCAGTGTAGTCAGAATTGACTCCACAGTGACAGATTTTGTTTCAGAAATGTTTTTTGTTTGTTTTCACTGAAATCTTCACGATAGCTCAGGGTCTCCCAGCCCCAAGGCTAGAACTGAGGGCTAGAGGGAGCGGGGTAGAGTTTGATATCCACTGACTTATATAACTTCACTAAAAAGCCCACTCACCTCATGAATAAATCATTTTAAATGCATGTTTATCAACTTTGCAAGACCTCTTCCAGAATTCTTGGCACAATTTTGGAATCTCTTACTGTAGCCGGTTTCAGAGCATTTTGAACACTAATTCAACTAAGTCAGGGCTTTCAAACTTTAGTGCTAATCACAGGGACATGGCAATGTCGGTTAAGATGCAGATTCCTGGCATCCACCCCCAGGTGGGGCCCACACATTTGTTTTTTAAACAAGTGCCAGGTGGCTCCCATGCAGGTGGGTAGCGACCCCAGCGCTCATGGACACTGGGCTAAGGGCCCCTCTGCTGCCATCTAGGGGCAAGCGGCTGACTCTCCACTGGGTTCCGAGGCTGTAAATCTTCATGGGGAGAAACTCTACCTTTCTCCAGAGGAGAAGCTGGTGGGTTAACATTGCCCAGCTTCCTGTTAGCAGTCTAATAACCCCCTACTATGCCACCTGGACTCCATCCTCTGAGACCTAATTGGTTCAGTACTGATGAATGACTTGCTGTCAGTCTAAATCTTGCATATTTCTGCCTCCTTTTTTTGGATGCTGAGTTTCGGCCTCCTTTTTTGAGAAGCTGTTGATGCTCTGGCTGGAAGGAAGAATTGGGCTCCAAATTCTCTGAATAACTAATTACAAAACAAAACAAAAAATCCACTGAGTCAATTCTGACTCACAGAAACTTTATCAGACAGAGGAGAACGGCTCTCACCCTATTTCCCAGCCTGTAATTCTCTGTGGAAGCAGATTGCCACATCTTTTTCCCGTGAAATTGAACTGCTGGCTTTTTGATTAGCAGTTGAATGTTTTAACCGTTGTGCCACCAGAGCACAAAATAATTAATTCCAGAACTCAAAATATTCACACACACTCCCCCCCCCCAAAATAATGCCAAACCAATTGCCATTGCATACTGGCACACATCATTTCTACCTAACTTGAAGTGTAGCGACTCTTCTTTGTCGTGAGAGCATTCATTACAAATCATTTGAAACTAAAGTAGAATGAAGGGGGATGGAATCTCATGAACTCATCACCAAAGTACAGCCACTGTAAAGTAACAAAACCAAACCACTATTATTGCCATCTTATTCTGCTACGGGTTTTCACGTCTTACACCATTTAACTCTCACAACGGCCCTGTGAGTTAGATTGATAGAATATTGTTGTCATATTGAGGTAGAGAAAACTGTGAGTCAGAAGGGCTAGGCGGTCACACATCTAGTGGATCACAAAGCTGAGGTTTGATGACATCTTGGTATATCTAAATCTTGGTCTTCAAAGACACCTTTTTCTTACATGATTTTAAAAATAATAACCCATTGTATTAGACAATACAGACATAAATGTCTTTGAAAGAGATGATTCCTCGTCATGCAACCATCTGGAGATAACCATTGCCAACATATCTGTGTAAATCCTTCTACTCTTGTGTAAACATATATTGACATACACACATATACTATAAGTTGTGTTCTTCAGCTTGCTTTGTTTTTCATTCGGCAGTATACCACAAGCTTTGCTTTCCATTTTACTTGGACAAATCTCATTGTCTCTCTGCTCTCCACTCTTCCAGGCATTCTATTGTTTGGACGTATAATAATATTTATTCAAACAGATGGTGGTCCTGAAGTTTGGGTTGAGACATTTAGGAGTATAATGTATGGATTCTTGTTGAGTGACTTGCTTTCAGGAGCAGGGAAGTAGGATGTTGTTGTCATTGTTGTGGATTGCTATTAAGTCGAGCATGACTCATAGCAACCCTATGAACAAAAACCTTGAAGCCTTTCTATAACTATTGACATTTATCAAAGTTCATTGAGTTACAGAGTCATGTTCTTTAGGAAGTGGATAGGAAGAAGAAATTGCTTAAGAGAGGAAATGATCAAGGTTAGAAAGATACCCCATTATTCAGGCCAACTGAGGCAAGGGGGCCATAGCAGCTTCCATCCTATGGAGCAATTGAATGCTGAGTTAAAGTGGCAGTTGTGAACTGTTAACAGCTGGGAAAGGGCATCTGAGCAGCAGCAGCATTCACTCTGAGATTGATCCACAGGGTCCATAATTCAATTTTAAACCCACTGCAATAAACATGAGAGAGAGAGAGAGAGAGAGAGAGAGAGAGAGAGAGAGCACGCCAGCCCCTAGGAAGCCCAATTCCTTACACTAAGCCACCAGAGTCCCTACGAATATATAGCTTTGGTGGCTTAATGGTAAAAAGCTATGCTGCCGACCCAAAGGTTCACACCCACCAGCTGCTTGATGGGAGAAGGACGTGCAGTCTCCTCCTGTGAGATCTGCTGCCTCTAAAAACCCACTGGAGGATCAGCTATGGGTTTGTTCCGACTTGACAGTACAAAATAACAACATATATTTTAAGAAAACACGCTCCAAATATACATGTAACGTATTTGGGGATGTTATCAGTATTGGGCATGCTTATTTTATTTTTTTTCTTCCAAATTAATTGCTACTATCATGAAGAGAGAGCTCTATACGTACGTGTGTGTGTCTGTGTCTCTGTGTGTGTGTGTGTGTGTGTGCGTGTGTTTTGAACGAATGGAAAGGGAAACAAAACCCTTCTTTAAAGAGCTGTTTTGTTTCAAATAGAATTAATCACAGCTCCTGAGAGGGCCCTCAGGGCTGCCTGGCAACTGGTACTGCCAGGTCCCATCCCTCTCTCCTATAACGCTCTCCTGGATGACTTTGGCCTCCCTTCCTCTCTTTCCCCAAATCTCCAGTGCTCCTCCCCAGCTTTATTCTTGCCTGGTGACCTTGCTTCTTGTTGTGCTGAGAGGAGTGAAGCACCCCAGGGAGAGCATTCGCCAGCTCCTTCCACCACATCTGCCGCGGGCTTGCGCCTGTGCCCCTGTCCTCGACGCCCTTCCTGGCCGGGGGATGAACTCTCCTGCACCTGTCTGCAGCCCACCCTTCTAGGCGTGCCTGGACACCCTCCCTCCCACTTGCCTGCTCAAGGACGTTCCTTCAGCAAGACATTCCTCCCTTCTGCAATGTCAAGGTCCCCATCTGTTTACAGACACACTGCCATTCTTCCTTTCTTTATTATCACCACTGCCTCCACCGAGGCCCTTGGAGCACAAATCCTCCAAACACTTGTCTACACTTTTTCCCCGTGTGCTTTCCTTTTTTTATTCAACCTTATACTGTGACCATTTCCAAACAAACACAGAAGCAGAAAGGACTTGTTACCTTAATCATTTCAAAACAAACCTCAAGGAGCAAGCCATCTCATCCTCCAAATACCTTTAAAAGTATTAAAAAGAGTAATTATGACAAGTGAGACAACTCAGGCAAGAAGGGGAGAATACAGTGCCATTTACGTGAAACATCTGAAATAAGACAGCTGTTGCCATCGGTCAAGCTGAGCCCTAACTGATGCTGCATGGTGTTCCTGGGGCTGTGGTCACATGGGGGGAGGTTGTTCATCTTTCTCTGGTGGATCTGCTGGTGCGCTTAAACCACCATCGAATCAGGGCCTCTGGGTCAGCAGTGCAAAGCCCTGTGGACCATCCCGGTGTTTGTACAGTATTGTGAATATAATAATGCATTTTAATTGTGCTTACAAATGGTTACAATTTTAATGTGTGTTGTTGTTGTTGTTGTTATAACCAGTTTTTTACTAGTGACCTCAAGTTGATTTCTGTTCCTGGCAACCCCTTGTGTGTCAGAGTAGAACTCACCTCCATTGGGTTGGGTTGGGTTGGGTGGCTGGTTTTGGTTTTTATGTTGTTGTTGTTATGTGCCGTCGAGTCCCTTGCGACTCACAGCGACCCTATGTAGAACAGCCCTAAACTCCGCTCTGTCCTGTGCCAATCGCACTGTCTCTGACACTCCCATCCCAATTATCCCAGTCACTGAATCAATCCACCTCATAGAGGGCCTTCCTCTCCTGCGCTGTCCCTCCACCCTCCCAAGCATGATGTCCTTCTCCAAGGACCGGTCTCTCCTCACAACATGTCCAAAGTATGTTAGACGGAGCCTCAGAATCCTTGCCTCCAAGGAGCCACCCAGTTTAACCCCTTGCAGGACAAATCTGTTTGTTTTCCTAGCAGTCCATGGTATTCTCAATACTCTTCTCCAGCACCACAGTTCAAAAGCATCAATTCTCCTTCTATCCTCCTTGGTCATTGTC